TTAGTCAGACTAGGCCCCCAAAGGAAAATCAGGGACAAATATTTAAATTTCATCACATAACTAAAATAATACATATTTTTCGAATTAAGTATTGTTTTTTATGACTACCAGTAAATCAGTTATAAGATGTATTTACCCAATTTCGTTTAAGGTGGTGAAGGACTGGTAGAAGAAGAATTTTCCTACAAATGACATGAGTTGGGCTGACGTTTCTATTGAATGTAAAATAGCTATGCTTTCCCAAAAGTGATGAGAACAACTTTTGGGAAAGCAAAGCTATGTAAAAATTCAATGGAAACGTCAGCCCAACTCATGTCATTTGTGGGAAAATTCTACTTTTACCAGTCCTTCATCACCTTAAACGAAATTGGGTGAATACATCTTATCAAATAATACACTTCAAGATTTTATTGAATATTATTGGTGGCGCGGATGCCAATCATGATCATGATCATTAAGTAAGATCGAAACTGCAGTCCAGTCAAGCCTGAATAAGCTAGTCTTTTGGGAGTAAAAGTCAATTGAAATTAAATGGCATTTGGAGGTCTACTCATTTGATCGTGGTAAATTACCATTATATATTATAAAAATCACTTTAAGCGGAAATAATTGTAGGAAAATTAATCTTTTATTTCTTCGCTAGCCTATTCAATCTAGAATGACTGGAACCCTTAATTAGGACTTATCGGTATTTTAGAAAATATACTCGCTCTGAATGTAAGTAAAGTTATCTAAATGCATTACGATTCAATTGAGGTTGCTTTTAAGTATCACATCATCACTTTTAGTAACGTTTGATGCTGAAAGTGCTTATTCAAGACCTTCTGCAAGTCTTGAAGCCTACTTCGTCACGTTTATAAGCAATTGCCATGTCGACAACACTCCGATTGTTATAAAAATGTGGTTTGGGACAGACCTAGCGTGTTTGAAGGCTGCTAGCCCAGTAACCCGTTAGTCTCCATCACAGTGTGGTTGTTTAGCAGCGTGATACCACTCGACGAGCATGTTCTGGGCTCGAGTCCTGTCGGAGTGTTGATGAGACAATGAGGTAAAATAGAAAATCGGGGTGACTATTCATGAGGATAAAACTCTATGGAAGAAGTGGGGCTAAGTGCATTCAGAGAAATCCTTTGAGAGCTGCATCCATCGTCCGAAGTGACATTGGGTGACTCCAATTGTTAGTCAAAATCTGCTGATAATTTTGAAGTTTACTCATCACTTAAAGACTTGTAGTTATTTCTTGTAGTGTAACCTACAGTGTTGCCTTGGCTACAGTAATTATAGCATAATAATTTGATTTAACAGAGAGCTGTCCTGTCTAGTATGTAGTATCTACAATGATATGAGCAGACCATACATTTTAATTGGATTTTATATAGCCTTGCTTCCCAAAACGTATTCCAATCGTTAAGGAGTAGACTGCAGTTTTAGCCTTGCCTTAACACCCTCGGTAGGACTCGAATCATGATATGGCAGCGTAAAATTTCGACACTTGACCAAATTAATTACGTCTCAAAATCCTACTTATAGACAAAAAATAATTAATATTCTTTATTTAAATAGCATATACTCCTTCGATTTATCTACAATCCCACCATAGAATGTGGTAGACGAAACTGCCCGAACTTCCTTGTAATTCACATCTGATCTGTTACCAATGGGCACTCGTGGAAGTGTGTGGTAGTGGTTACCGTGTCGAGACCTTACGCTGCACCACCACAAGCCGAGTTCGAGTCCGTCTGGGGCTGCTGGTGAGGCCTGTGAGAGGTCAAAACGGTTTACCAGTTCAGTTTGAATTAGAATACCTTTTGGGAGCAAAGCTATGCAAAATGCAATGGAAACGTAAGGCTTACTCATATCATTGCCAGAAAATGCAACTAACACTCCTTGATGATGTTAAGCAAAATTGGGTGAATAAAGCTCTTGCATCAGACCGGCCTACTTATGAAACGAGAAAGTAAGCTAAAGCGCTGCTGGTAAATGGCGACAGGCCTGAGCTCGAGTCCCGTTTGTATTGTTGATTAGACTCAGACGAAGTACAAACGGTAGTTTAACCTAAAAAATTTAAAAATTAATTTAAGAGTAAAATTTAATGACCTTTCCTCATCTTCTTTGCGTCTTTAAACAATCTAAATATGCGGAATGAAGACCCTCTATTTTCGTGATGTTCTTCTCTGACTAGTCGTGGCTTGGTGCCAAGATAAACGAGACTCAGTGACGACGCGGAATAGAAAGCTGGGAGTGGGCCAAGTCTACGAGCCGAATCAGGAAATCATCATAAATAATCGTGTAGATAACTTTGGAAAAGAGGCCTTCATCTAGCTTGCTTATATCAGATCAAGATTGACAATGAATGACTTTTGTTTGTTTTTTTCAGAATATACTTACTACTTTTATGCATAAGAGTAGTTTCATAAGCTAGCCAACATAGAACATGAAATAGGGCCTAATTAGTTGGCCGAGGGATGAGTCGAAAGTGATTACTGGGAGCAGGCTCTTCTGCCATGACGACTGATTGACCGAACAACAGCATGTCGTTGGTTTCTTCCTCCGACCGACTCGTCTGTCTCTGTCCGGCCGACGGTCTGGCCCCTCGCGTTCCGACGTAGACTCCACGATTGTATTCAACGACTTGGGCCTGACGACCGACCGGTGATGGGCTGAGCGTCATCAAGCCGACCGAAGGAGTGAATAGGGCCGGCAGAGTCGTAGCTGCCAAGAAGAGGGCCCCTCGGCCGGACAGGCCATCCCAACTGGACTCGACTGGAAAG